AATTTCAGCATAGTACTCTATCATTTATTCAGTCAGGCCAGAACCCTTCTCACTGAAGGAGAAAAGGACACCACTGGAGAAACTGTTTCCATGTAATGAAGTAAATCACTACAAGGTCCTGGAGATAAGAATGACTGAACAGTAATAATTTAATAAGAACCAAATATAGTCCAGGCCAATGTTGCTCAGTGATTAGAGCGTCGGCCCACACACTGAAGGGTCTTGGGTGTGATATCTGGTCAAGGGCATGAACCTGAGTTGCTAGTTTGTTCCCCGGCCCTGGTCTGGGCGAGTTTAGGAGGCAACCAATTGATGTGTCTTTCTCACATCGATGTTTCTCTCTCTCTCTCTCCCCCTCCCTTCCTCCCATTCTCTCTAAAATTCAGTGGAAAAATATCCTCGAGTGGGGATTAACAAAAAAATAATAATAATAACTTGGATACTAAGAACCAATTTTATGGAAAGGTAGATTAGCCCACATATTAGAATGATCACAGGGAACTTTAAATACTACTACCAAGTCTGAATCAAACATAGGCAAGTGACTGAACCCAGAAGGAAAATACAAACTTCTGCAGGGGAATTATTTACTCTCTTTGATTAGCATACAATAGTGGAGTAGATTTGAGTACACACCTAATCAGATACCTGGGAACAAATCCTGTGCATCAGTATCTTCCAAATGTGCGATTTGCTGCTTTTCTGTCTCGCAAAAATACCCATAAGTAGTACCGGGTTGATTTGCACGTGCTGCTTTCAAAAGTTGTGAACAAGAAAAATGTACTACAGCACCAAGTATAAAAAATTCCAAGATTTCTCTGGAAAAGTGTGTGATTTTTTTTTTCTATAGTCAACTTATTTAATGGTTATGCAGGTGATGCCACTCATGAATAAACAGGAAAAATGTTCAAAGCTAAAAAGTATCGAGTTGAGCTGGTTCAAGCTGACTGCTGCTTTTCATGGTGAAACATCCCTTTTTGGTTAATATAAATACAGTTTAAGTCTTAGGATACGGCTCAATGACAAAGGACAAGCTGAATTTAAGCAACATAAACAGCAGATAGGCCACAATCCCATGGAGACTGTTAAAGATAACAAAGGATTCAGTTACTCTAACTTAATAATATTTACTTAATCTTGGGAAGGCCAAAAAAAAGGGGGGGGGTGTGTGCTATAATCAGTGCATGAGAATTCATCTGCTCTCTGTTTATATTTCCTGTTAACTTTTAGATTCAATATGAAGTATTTAAGAAAAAATTCCTTTGGAAGCATATAAAAAATAGGTACTGAATAAATTTTTTAAGTGTTGTCACAAAAAGGAATCTCTACAGAGTTTGTTAAATTATAAAGAAACTGGGAGATTTGCAAATCTTACTCTTTTTTAAGGTTGGAATTGAATTGATTAAGGCAATATGTCTAAGATAACCAATTGTGGTGTTATGTTGCTTTAAAATGTAGCACAAAGGACAACTTCAAATAAGAAACTCTTCCTGTTAACTTATCAAATCAGTGGTTGAGCCCTGATGGCTACAAACTGCCGTGGTTTGCTTCCCTTGAATTGGGAATGGGGATTCTTTTTTTTCTCTTAAGATCCACTGAACCAGAGAAGAAAACCCTGAAAATCACACATAAAGTATACTTAATTTAGTTTAATTTTCAGAGCCAAATAATTTGCCACATATATGAATTAAGTATTTTAACTTAAGAAAAAGCAAATAAAGCCATTCTCAATTTCTTTCTTTTTCCATATAAGCAGTTAAAGAAGAGAAAGAAAGGGCAGGGAAAGATATCCCTATCTGACAGAGAGACAGAGACAGACAGGGCTATCAGAGGTAAAGAGAGATGTCACCAGGAAAGGCCAGAGTCAGAAAGGAAAAGACAAGGAGGGAGACATGAAGGTCACAGAGATAGACGAAATGACAAATGTGTGCTGCAAGGTATGGGGTTAAACAGGTACATACATATAGGACCCACTACAGGAAAAAACAAACACATTTGGTATAGAATGACAGAGAATGTCCTAAACATAAGAGTCTTTCACAGAATACAAGTAACCTTTTATAATTTTACTGTTAAGTATTGGTTTTTTAGGCAATAATTAAATAGAAAGAGATATTGCTATTTGATCCCATCAGCTAAAGAATATAAGCCCTGACAAGTGGCTCAGTTGGTTGGAGCGTCGTCCCATACACCAAAAGGTTGCAGGTTCGATCCCCGGTAGGGGCACGTGTGATAGGCAACAGATCGATGTGTGTCTCTCTCTCCCTTCCTCTCTCTAAAATCAATAACTAAGAAAAAGAATATAAAAAAAACAAGCACAGCATAAGTATCCTTATACCATCACTACTAGTACTTCTACTAATACCTAAATTTGAGGTTTTAAAGACTTATTGGTAATTCTTTAATGTGATGATGGTACTGTAGTTAAGATTTTTAAGTCTATGTTTAGATTAGTTGCTGAAATACTCATGGGTGAAATAATATGATGTTTGGGATTTGTTTCAAAATACATGGTGTGGGGGTGAGGAAATAGTGACTCACCGTGAGTTGACTAACTTGAAGTTGGTGTTGGGAGTTCATTACCCTATATTCTCTACTCTTGTAGGGGGTGAAATTAGGCAGAATGAAGTTTTTCTTTCTTTCTTTTTTTTGTTAATCCTCATCTGAGGATTGATTTTCTTTTCTTTCTTTTTTTGGAGAGAGTGAAAGAGAGGGAGTAGAGAGGGGGAGAGAGAAACATCCATGTGAGGAAGACATCGATTGGTTGCCTCCCAAACACGCCCAGACCAGGGCCAAGGAGCTATCCTGCAACCCAGGTACATGCCCTTGACCGGGTATTGAACCCAAGACCTTTCAGTGGGTGGGCCAACGTTCTTACCACTGAGCCACATTGGCCAGGGCTGGCATAATAAAGTTTTAAGATTTTCTTTTCAAGTATAATTAACTTAAGAAAATTAAGGATTAGGTCAGTTTGGGTTTATTTGGAAATTTGTCGGGCCACTAAAAGAATCTGCTGTGTAAAATTAAATCTTTTAGGTGAAAACAAGATTGATAGTACTGTTATCAAATTGAAGGAAAGAAACATGACTAACTTAGAGCAAGGATAAAAAACTTAATATAAACTTCTTGGAGGAATAATAATTTTGAAATTACTGACTTGACTGAATCTGAAGACCTCTTTTCATAAAATGTGAAGCTATGGAGTTAAGATCATTAGACATCCATGCTGTAGCAATGGGTAAAATTTGCTTCCTTTTTACAGTGAAGTAGTATTCCACTGCGTTAATGTACCACCTCTTTTTTATCCACTCATCTACTGATGGACTCTTGGGCTGCCTGGAGAACATTATGCTAAGTGAAATAAGCCAGTCAGAGAAAGACAAGTACCATATGATTTCACTCATATTTGGAATTTAATGAACAAACTGAACTACCAAGCAAAATAGAGACAGACTCATAGATAGAGAGCAGGCAGACAGCTCTGGTGGGGGCAGATATTGTGTGTGTGTCAGGGGGGATATGGAGGGATTGAACGAAAAAATTTAAAAAAAGGGAGAACTCATGGACTTGGACAATGGTGTGGTGATTGTGGGCAGGGAGGGGGGTGGGTGGAGGTGGAAGAGGGCACAGAGGGGATAAATGGTGATGGGGGGGATCATTAAACAAATTTAAGGCTGATGGCTTCATCCAAGTCACTCATTTTGATGTTGGCAAGGCCCAGAAAGGGTTAAGTGACTTAACAAACATTTGACTTGTCTCCCATACTTATTAACATATTAAGTATAAAATTTTGTATATATTTTTCTAATTTAGCTCTAAACATTGTTTCCTATTAGTAGTATATATTCTTTTGTAATAATAATTTTTAAAAATATGATTTATATAACACTTCTTTTTTTTAAATGTTTTAATTGATTTTAGAGAGAGAAGAAGGAGGAGAAAGAGAGAAACATCAATAAGAGAGAAACAATGATCAGCTGCCTCCTGCACACCCTTCGCTGGGGATTGGGCCTGCAACCCAGGCATGTGCGTTGACCAGATATTGAACCCAGGACCTTTACAAGCATGGGATGACATCTCAACAAGATATAGAGCCAGGGTTGTAATAATTATTTTTAATTGTTTAATACTTAATGGAGTGGATATAGTTCACTTATTTATTCTTCTATAATATGGCCTTCATATTATTTCCAACTTTTTATTACTATAAAGCTGCTATGAACATTATTTATATACAAAAATTCATTATAGCTAGGATTACCATAGAAGCCATATTTGATTCTCTCAAAATTAAGATTAAACTTCCTAACAGAAGTATGCTTATCCTTTAGAAAATCTGTTAAATGGCAAAATAAAGCTAGATTCTCCATTTTCTCTATAAATTCAGCTTATGAGCAGTCAAAATGATAAGATGTAGAGGAAGGCAGAAGATGATTTTGAGGACTGTTTTGGGCAAAACAATGTTGATATGGTAGAGGCAGAAAAAGACAATTTTAACTAAAATTCTACCCTACGCCTGGCTGGTGTGGCTCAGTGGCTGAGCGTCGACCCATGCACCAAGAGGTTGCAGGTTTGATTCCTGGTCAGAGCACATGCCCAGATTGTGGGCCTGATCCCCAGGGAGGGGCATGCAGGAGGCAGCCAACCAATGTTCTCTCTCATTGATGTTTCTATCTCTCTCTCCCTCTCCCTTCCTCTCTCTCTAAAATTGAAAAAGGAAAAAAATTTAAAAAAATAAAATTCTACTCTACCTGTTGAAAAGCTTTTTCTGCTTGACGTTCAGCATCAATAACTTGTCTCTCAAGCTGTTGCATCTGTAAAGTGAGGAAAATAGAAAAAATATAAAAACTCCTATTTACCTTTTGAAAGGGACTTAGAAATTTCACAGTGTCATCAACTTCTTTGCAATTTATCACATTAAAAGCTCTTTCAGTGCATATTTAAAAACCAAACAAAATACCAAAGATTTAATATTTTCAATACAATATAATACATACCACATGAGTATACATCAATAGAATTTTCTTCATTAAAAACTAGAAATTACTGGTCAACACACAGTAAAAACAATAAATTAATTTTAAGAGAATAGTAAAACTTCAAATGTCACACTTGACTTGTTGATCAGAAAGTCACAATGATATCAGAAAGTGGTATATCTCATAAACTGTATTTACTGTATCATCCTTGGAGAATCCAAAAATGAGCATGATCGGGCTGTACTGAAAGAGACTTGGACCAAGCCCTGGAACAATGCAAAGCCCTAATGTACTAAAAGCGATTAGTTTGTTTAATATTAAAAAGATGACGTGGATACAGATGAGAAAAACTTACAACTACATCTTTGAAAACTATGGCAAGAACTACATCTGGTTTTTCCTTGCACATCCCACTACATTTGCTGGCACTGAAAGTTTAAAGTAGCTTCTGTTTACTAGGGAAGCATCACATCCCTCCTATCTGGGCCCATAATAACATCTGGCAACTTGAAATACATGAATATGGAAAAAGGAATTGTCTTAAGTATAGAGTCTATGTAAAGAGTTAGCCTTCTCAAGACTAAAAAGTGTACAGATCTAAGTAATTTAGAAGTTATCTAAAGACATGCAGCTGGCAGTGTGCCTCAACTATGCAGGAGTTCTTGCAGAAGTGCAGAGGATTCTGAAGAAAGAGCTGTATTTAATACAAAATCAATTGCTGATTCAAGGGACAATATCTAGTAATACTCAGCAAGTAGTAGAAAGCTGCTGTTCAGTTATGGCTAGTACTATTTATTTATTTATTTAATCAATCCTCACCTGAGGACATTTTTGCATTTATCTTGAGATGGGACGGGAGGAAGAGAGAGAGAGAAACATTGATGTGAGAGAAACACATCAACTGGTTGCCACCCACACAACCCCAACCAGGGCCGAGGACAAACTGCAACCAAGGTACATGTCTTTAGCGGGAACTGAACCCGGGCCTCTCTGGTCCACGGGCTGACGATCTAACCATCAAGCAAAACTGTCCAGGGCATGGCTAGTACTTTCAATGGACTAATTCCAAAGAGATCATAGTAATAATGTATGGCAGGTACCAGATAAGAGCATTTGAACATTATTCCACACTGGTTTTCTTGCCTCAGAATGGGGCAGAACATGATGGAGGGCAGGTGAATAATAGAACAGTGCTCTCCAAGAGCACTTGAAATGTGGCTAGTCCCAAATGAAATGTGGTGTAAGTGTAAAATACACATCAATAATACATATATTATTTGAAAACCCAATACAAAAGTATAAAATATCTCAGTAATTTTTTATGTTGACTCATCTTGAAAGGACAATATTTTGAATATGTTGTATTAAATAAAATAGAATATTAAAATTACCTTTGTATGTTTCTTTTTATTATGTTGTTTATTAAAAATGTACATAGGTGAATAAAAAATATATTTGGGATTTGCTTCAATACAACATAGGAGGGGAGAGTGGATCAGTGTATGAATGAAATAAGGATTAATCCTGGGTTAATAATCATAAAAGCTGGGTGATGTGTACATGGAGGTCCATTACAATATTCTGCTTACTTTATATGTTTCAAACTTCTCTAATAAAACAGTTAAAATATAGCCCAGCTGATGTGGCTCAGTGGTTGAGCAACAACCTATGCACCAAGAGGTTGCTGGCTCCTAGTCAGGGCACATGCCCAGGTTGTGGGCCAGACCCCCAGGGGGTGGCATGCAGGAGGTGGCCAACTGATGTTTTTTCACATCGATGTTTCTATCTCTCTCTAAAAATAAATAAAGAAAAAAATTTTTTAAATAATAAAATATATATAAACTATGTAAACAATATATTATAAGATACATAAATAATATGCAGTATGATACACAATATATGTATATATGTACTAAGTAGGAGGCCATTAGTGACCATTGTGAGGTCAGCTGCAAGGGCATAGCTGGAATGCCAGTCTACGTGAATTAAAGTAATTAGTTAGGGTTTGACAGCCACCAAAGATGACTGAGAGGTGAGGCCCACTGTCCTTCCTTTTGACTCTGGGATGACTTTGTGACTTGCCCTGACCCACAGAATGCAGTGGAAGTGATGCAGAGCCATTACGAGTTTTGCCTTTAAAACTTATTTATATTTAAAATATATTTGTATTTTTTCTTTTTATGAAAACACATCTAGATGATGAATTAAAAGTCTGGTTATATGAAAAGCAAATTATTGTGCTGTCCAAGGACTCCTCATTCCTATGAGAGAATTCTAAACCACCTCTGGGGAATCACAGTCACAAAAGGAAGGTCAGGTGGCCAGAAAAATGCTGTATCAGCTAAAGGCAGCATTAGGTGATTGGGGCCATGCTGATACCCAAACAAAAAATTCTTCATATTTTTCACCCCTTTCCTTTCATTGAAAATCTAACCCACAGGAAATAACATTCATTTCAACTAAAAATGAAACTTTCCTTTTTCCCTCCCTGACTCAGAAAACTAGTAAGACTGTAAAGAAGGAAAACTACTTAAATCGCGGCTTCCCTGAAGAGTTTATATTTGGCATACTAGAGATATTTCCAACACCATTCCTTAAATTCCTCTAAAGACCTCTCCCACTTACAGCAGTATTTGCCCAAGACTTCAATAAGGCCTTTTTCTTCACAAACTTTAATATTCTAAGTTACTTGGAAATAATGAAAAAAGTAAAAAATGCAAAATAGTTCTTTTTTAAAACATCCCATGTATTCTCCTACTTTGTCTCCAAAAAAATATAAGGTACATATCATTGAAATGCAACTTTCATTATAAAAACATTCTGAGATCATCTCACACATCTTTCCTAAAAAATTCAGAAGGATGTTTCCTACTAATTGGTAATTACATTTGTTTAAGTCATCTCCTTGTACACTTAACCAGTGTGTTCATTTAGAAAGAGATAGGAAAATAATAATGAGTTACTTCTATGTGCCAGGCACTCTATTACCTGCATCACAAAATAGTATGAAAGATCTACAGTTTAATGCCAACTCTGCAATTTTAGCTGTGTGATATTGGGCACACTATTCAAATACTCTCAGTCTTGATGTCAACATATTTAGATTGGAAATAATAATAGTTACCTCATAAGGTTATGCTGGGTTTTAAACTAGCTAATGGTTGTACTAATTGCTTAGGAACCATAGTTAGCACCTAGTGTTAGCTGCCTATAGCCAATGCCAATAAAACAGAACTAAGAATAAAAACTATTGCAGCAAAGAAAAGCTGGCTAGAATTCCTGGCAAAGGGCTAAAGAATCAAATGAGTATTCTCTCAAGAATCTTCAGCCTTGGGCCAGCATCCATTTGGGGAAAGGTGTGGAGAACTATTAGGGAAAAGCTATGGGAGCAGACTGGTCCTAACAGAAAACCATTGGTTATGAATGGGACCAGACTGGCCTCTGGAATGCAATATTTGACTCAAATTGGCCTGCAGAAGCAACGCAATAGGGTTCGCTTTGAAAAAATATGTCATGTTATGTAAATTGTTATTACTACACACACACACACACACACACACACTCACACACAGATACCTGCCCTCAAGCAGAGATGGATTTATATGTTGCATGGCTGAAGAGACAATAGAATAGATGAGTGGGTAAGCATATCTAAGAAAGCAAGGAATGTGGTAATAAAACTAGATGAGAGAGGCCATATAGGGTGATGGCTAAGCATTCAGCCTCTAAAAGCAGAACTCCTGGCTTCAAATCTTGGCTTCCTCACTTACTTTATGGCACAAACTCAGGCAAGCTAAATAACTACTATTCACTTAAGTTTCCTCCTATGTAAATATGGATAATATTAGTACCTAACTCAGAGCTGTAAGAATTAAAAGGTTAACTTATATAAAGCACTTAAAAGATTGCCTGGCACATAGTAAGCATCAGTTTCCTAATCTATAAAATAGGAACAATAAAATTTATAACTTCACAGGTTGTTAGAAGAATCATATCTATAAAGTGCTTTATAAAGTGCTTAGCATACAATAAATCAATAAATACTTGGTATTTTTATTAAAACATGGGTGGGTACCAAAACTAATTTTCAATCCAGAGAAAAATATTTCATAATGGAATACAACAGAAAACATTGTGAAAAACGTTATTCCCAGATTGGTGTTGAATCTATTTACTGGAAAACCATGAGTAACTTGGCATACTTATCCACTTTCCACTGTATGAAACACATCTGAGTAATTCCATCTCTTAGATCTGGCAAAGGATTTAAGCCACAGATATAAAATACAAAAGACCCTCCCAAAAAAAAGAGGAAGGAAAAGAAACCACAACTAAAAGAGCAATTTTGAAATAATATTCCTCTCAAAATTAATTCACTGACAAAGGAAAAAGAAAATCTAATAACATAAATTAATAAGCAAAAGTTATTTACAATTTTACTTGTACAGAAAACGACACTTAAAGTGTAAAAATTGGGCACTCAAACCCTGGCCGGTTTGGCTCACTGGTTGGAGCATCAGCCCACAAACCAAAGAGTACTGGGTTCAATTCCAGTCAAGGGCACGTACATCGGTTGTGGTTTGGTCCCCCGCTCTGGTTGGGGTCATGCGGGAGGCAACCAATCGATGTCTGTCTGTCTGTCTGTCTGTCTGTCTGTCTCTCTCTCTCTCTCCCTCCCTCCCCCTTTCTCCTCTCTCTCCCTTCCTTCCTCCATCTCTCCCTCCCATTCTATCTGACGATAAATGGAAAAAGTATCCTTGGGTGAGAATTTTAAAAAATTGGCACTCAAAAAATTTCATTGCAACAAGTCTTATAAAGAGCCAAACAAATGTTGCCATCAAATTTAGAATTTAAAGGTCAATTAATTGGAAACCAAATAACCATAACTACTATTTAGTCCATAAAAAAAGCAGGAGAGTATAGAAGTCAAGGGAACCAAGGAAATGTTGAGGAGGCTGTGGTCAAGAGTATGCTAACTGCTGAAAAGCTAAGGCAACACCTGGGAAGTTATCTATGAGGTTTAGCAACATGAATATAATTGGTAATCTAGACAAAAATAATTGTATGAGGTGGTTAGGATTGTGGAAAATACCAGCTAAATTTCAGTAACCTGGGAAATGATTTTTATAGAGAGAGGAGCAAAAGACAAACATATATCACTACCTCTGAATTAGGATAAGTTTCCTCAACTTGGAGATATTCAAACTAGTATTTTTTTTCAAGCACAAAGATTTAAGATGATATTAAACTGAATGATGTTCTATTGGGTTTTAATAATATGTAGTTATATCATTAGAATATCACTGTGCTAAGAGATTCTTAGCTAGCAATGAAAGGAATATTTAAGATGATCTTTTTTAGAGATGTGATACGTGTACCAGTCCTCCACCCCAAAAAGATTATGCAGATTAGAGTTTAAGAAACCACCTGTAAGTTCTTCTGATCAGTTTTGAATGACCATTAATATCACTTATCCATTCACCCAGACAGCACTGTCCAATAAAAATATATAATGTGAGTCACATGTATACTTTAAAATTTTCTAGTACTCACATTTAAAAAGTAAAATTAATTTTAATATTTTTTGTTTAACTCAATATCAAAAAATTACCATTTGAACATGTAATCAATACAAAAATTATTGCTGAGATATTTTACATTCTTTGAAATCTGGTGTGTAGTTTACATTTATAACACATCTCAATTTTAACTAGCCTTATTTCAAATGCTCAGCAACCACTTGTGGCTAGGGGCTGCCATGCTGGACAGTGTAGATCTAGAACACAACTTCCCTGGAAACAGGAACGTGGCTTGTCTTGTTCACAATTGTAACTGTAGCATTGAGAACAGTGTCTGTCACATAATAAGTCCTCAATGAATATCTATTTAATGAATGAATTTATCTATTCATTTTATATACATATATGCCCCCCAAATTTCTGTGACATAAATAAAATTTTAATTACATGATTAGAACTATTAAGAGAAGCATATAATTATCTTAAATTCAGTTCTAGCTGAGATGATAGTTTAGTGATCTACAGTAGTCAATATAAATTCTAAATAGTGGCATACTTTCAAGTATAGTATAAACATGTTTTACTATCAATAGGGAAGGTTCTTCTATAATCACTTTAAACATGATTTTCCCAAACATTTAAGTAGATCAAAATGCTGTCATACTTCTTTAGTAAAATCAAATAAATTACAG